TTTCAAAGATAGTCATGTTATTTTATTATGCTTTGAAGAAACGTGCATATTTTGCTCGATGCGCCCTCTTGTGGCCTCAGGAGAGAAGCCAAAAGCATTTTTCCCCCTAACTGAAATTATGCCTTTTAAATTCGAATATAATTCGAATTTTGATAATATTTAAGTAGAAAATGCGAATTTAGTTTTTCAGTCATTTTGACAGCCCTACTGTACAGTGTTAACGGAGGCGGACAGTAGTGAAGTATTTTTACTCTTCTTTAATCGTACTTTTCAAGTGTCTGTACTTTATCAGTGTTTTTCTTTAGAAAACTTTACTTCACAACTCTAAAGCATAATATTGTGTTGTTTCAAATTAAGTATAATTTAATACTTAATTGCATTAGAAATCTATACCTTTCTTTTGAAACCAAAAAAAAAGGTTCTAGATGTTTAGGTTTATGAAAATGATTTATGAACGATGTTTTATATAAAATATATATTTTATGAAACCTGTTGAACTCTATACCTGCTAGAAAATCAAAGCCATAAATCTAAACAAGTTGTATTCCAAATTTGAGGTTGATATCTCAAAAAATGAGCTTTCAGTAAGATTTTGTTTGGGCGCAGTACCACATTTTCCCCATTAGATGCCAGCAAAACTCTGCTGGTGCACACAGTGGTTGGATTTGTGATTTGCAGTAGAGTTTTTCCTCTCTCAAATATTACAAGAACACACACACACACAATTTTTTTATTATTTTTTATGACACGCATACAAACCACACTCTGACATCCATACCAACACACCCACACAATTATAGCTGCATTATTTATCCAATTGGCTCTATAATATGCAGAAGCAGAAAACAGAAATAAAGCGAGTATTTTCTTTATAGGTCAAACCTGAAAAAATGACACCATCTGGTAAAAAAATAGTAAAAAATTTAATTTTAAAGCCTTGTTAACACAGGCAAAATGATAAAAAAAAACGAAACTAAAAAGGACAAAAATGTTCAAAAGGTCGCACAAGGGTTAATGTTCTTAAGTATTAAAGGGTGAAACAAACAACAACTTGTATTTATGAAATGCAGTAAAAAGTATGGCATTATGCTTGGGAATGTAAGTTTTCCAAAATTTACTAAAGTAAAAATACTTCTCTACTGTCCGCCTCTGAGTGTTATAAATGTACACACATTTTTTAGAAATCAAAATATGTTACCCTGGAGCACAAAACCAGTAATAAGGGTAAATTTTTGGAAATTGAGATGTATGCATCATCTGAAAGCTGTTGTGTGATGTTGCTGTTGTTTGTGCAGGAGCCGAGCCACCGCAGAAGACTGTCTGAAGCACCAGTGGCTCCAGCCGGAGGAGGCCTGTCTGGAGAGCGTCTCGGAGCCCGTCGGTCCTGCTGATGAAGACGAGGAGGAGGAGGAGCTGATCGTGATGGCTGCTTACACCCTGGGCCAGTGCCGCCAGTCCTCCGATGAACCGAGCCTGACCCCGGATCAGAAGGCCATCTCCAAACGCTTCAAGTTCGAGGAGCCCTTCTCTGCGCGGCCTGGAGAGTTCATCTACTGAGGCACACTTCTGTCCTTCTGTCTCTGCGCTTCTCTCTCCTCGTGATTTCAATTGTAAGCCAAACCGTTTCTGTTTCACTGGTTGCTCTTGTTTCTGTTTGTGCTGCTTTATATGTTCACGGTTAAGATCCTGAAGCCTTGCTGTGGTTCTCTCTTTCTTTGGTGCCATGCTTACATACTCGATAAGGGTGTTTGTGCAAAATGAATGTTGTGTGTTTTTCTGCGACACGAGGGCAAGCAGAATTAAATGTAAATTAACCCAGTTTTATTTTAAGAGTATTTCCGTGTCATGTTTAAAAAAAGCCATTTTGTATGTTGAGCTCCTGGCTGACGTTAAGGTATTTCCCGGATAAATATTTCACAGCAATAACACTTCCATTCACACGCATATATATATATATATATGAAGAGCGTGTGTCTTTCTGTGTGTTTATTTTAACTCATGTTAGAGTTATAACTGTAAATTGATTTGTCACTGTAAAGAATATTTTTAAGTGACTGTCTTGATGCTGTAAATAAAAGTTTGTCTCGACTGTCGCTCTCTGCCTTTATTGTTGTTGTTATTATCATTAATACTTAATCTAAATAAAAACTAAAATATGGCATGCTATAATCCTGAAGTTGCTCCATCAGGTTGTGCTTTGAAAAGCCAAAAGAAGGCAGTAATTTAAGCATTTAACAATACCTACGAAGCATTTTTAAGATAATTATTGGAGTTTTTTTCTTTTTCTTTTAATTATCTTGGTCCTTAATTGTCAATTCAAGTCTTTAAGGCATTTGTTTATGAAAAATATAAGTGTATAAATCTCTGAGGGAAATTTTTACTTTTTTTTTACAGCTCAATCATATTTTTAAGTGACTGTCTTGATACTGTAAATAAAAGTTTGTCTCGACTGTCGCTCTCTGCCTTTATTGTTGTTGTTATTATCATTAATACGTAATCTAAATAAAAACTAAAATATGGCATGCTATAATCCTGAAGTTGCTCCATCAGGTTGTGCTTTGAAAAGCCAAAAGAAGGCAGTAATTTAAGCATTTAACAATACCTACGAAGCATTTTTAAGATAATTATTGGAGTTTTTTTCTTTTTCTTTTAATTATCTTGGTCCTTAATTGTCAATTCAAGTCTTTAAGGCATTTGTTTATGAAAAATATAAGTGTATAAATCTCTGAGGGAAAATTTTACTTTTTTTTACAGCTCAATCAATTGCATTCATATCATTAAAGAAAGCTTTGGACTGCTTCCGCTATTTAAAAACCTTCAAAGCCCCGCCCTAAACTCACGCGATTGGCCGAGAGCTTCCTGCTAAAGTTCTGATTGGCTAACTGTGCTCAGATCTGTAAGAGTGTGATTTCTCTAGATTCTCTAATTCAAAATAAACAAATAAAAAATCACCATCTTCCAATAATAAAGACCCATCTCTTTCTAACATACATACAGACATTTATGTATTTTTGAGAGCATTCATTTTTACCTTCATTGTAAACCTTGATAGCAAAATGTTCTCTTTATTTTTTATTACATAAGACTAATACAACATACAAATATAGAAGATCACAGTGTTTTTTAACTATTATCAGTTACATTCATAATAGCTTCAAAGGAACAAACGGGAAAAAAAGGACAGAAAGAAGAAGAAGAAACTACTACAGGGGATAACTTACAAGAAATTTCCATAAGCAAACATTATTTACATCCTTTTTTGTTTCTTAGATCGTTTAAAGCTTCAATGTAATGCTTAAGTTCAATTTTAAATTATGTAATTTTAGGTTTATTATTAGACCATTTTTGTTTGTGTAAATGGTATTTCCCATACATAATTATTAAATATATCACCAAATTGTGCTCAATTCTTATTTTTATACAACAAAAATGTATCTTTAGTAACAAGTACAACTCCAGTTCACTGCCGCTAATGCAGGAATGGCCTTGGTTTTGGCGCCCTCTGCTGGTTGACTTCGTAATTGTTTTACTGATTTTTATTTATTTGTTTGTTTTTCTTTATTTTTAATATTCATGTACATTACACTATCGATACAAGTGTTTTAGAATATTATATAACTTAAAAAACGTAAACAATGAAATAGTCTGTATTAATCTGAATTCGAGTCGGTTATGTTTCTAATGAAGGAACCGAATAACGTGCTGCGACGCGTTACCTGACCGGCTCTGGCTACATCCAAGCAGTCGCTCCAGTCCTCCATCACGAGCAGCGGAGCAGCGGAGAGAGGCCTACACGACACATCCACGACCTCTAATCAAGTGTTGTCCCGCGCCGCGAAACACATTTATTTTTAAATGTGAGCCTGGAGCACAAAGCCAATCATAAGCAGCACAGGGATATTTGTAGCAATAGCCAACAATACATTGTATGGGTCAAAATTATAATTTTTTCTTTAATGCCAAAAATCATTAGAGACTCTTATGACTGGTTTTGTGGTCCAGGGTCACATATAGTCAGTGTGTGATGTAAAGGTCAGGATTTGACCTTTGACCCGCAGTGTGAGGGTCATTGGCAGCTCGACGCTAGCACTCTGTCACATCGCCAGCGGCGCGGCCGAGGCCTATTATCAGCACGGTCTGCACTGCTGGGACATCGCAGCGGCCGCCGTCATCATCAGAGAGGCCGGCGGATGCGTCATCGACATCGATTGTTTGTTTGCTGGTTTTTATTGTATGTGTTATACGTGTATTTTTGTTTTTGCCATGAAAATAGCCTAAGATGCTGACATGGCATTAAATAAAAACATACTACTACTACTACTACTCAGTATGTTCTGGATGCAGAAAATGCACCATAGTTGGAGTCATAATGCTGTTATCAGGAGTGTGTTTAATTCATAATGTAGGATTTTAAATAATAAGGGCTTTATTGAATATCTGGATGGTTGATTTGGGATTATTATTTCATTATGAATGTTGAACTTGAAGGTGTTGGGCTGCGTGAAACTTCAGTAACTAAACTGAAAGAGGATTTGGGTGAGCACATGATGAAAATCTAAACATTTACACGATATTTCATGCATGGTTTAGTATTTGTATATAAACTGTAACTAAATCTGTAGTCGTAAAAGGGTATTTATACTGTAGGATGTTAGTGTAGCTCAATGTTTGCATACTATTCTTTATACAGTGCCCTCCACTAATATTAGTAAATATGAACAAAGGCGGCTGTGAAAATAAATAAATGCATTGTTTATCCTTTTGATCTTTCATTCAAAAAAATGACAAAATTCTATCCTATTATTGAAGTAAAACAAGTGGAAGTGGGGAGAAAATCTCATGATGAAATAAATGTTTTTCTCTAATGCATGTTGGCTACCATTATTGGCACCACTTGAAATTCTTATGAGTAAAATATCTCTGAAGTATAATCCCATTCATATTTACATTTTTATTAGCACGCCAGGGTGACTATGAGCATGAAATTGTCCAGCCATGACTTCTGTTCCACAGGATTATAAATATGAGGAACACAAATGCCAAATCCCTTTAATCATCTATCACAAAGAGTAAAACCAAAGAATATAGTTCTGATGTGCAGAACAAGATTGTTAAGCTTCACAAAATAGAAAGTGGCTGTAAGAAAAGAGCTAAAGCATTGAAAATCCCCATTTGCACCATCAGGGCAATAATTAAGAAGCTCCAATCAACTAAAGATGTCACTAATCTGTCTGGAAGAGGACGTGTGTCTATTAGGGCTGTCAAAAAAAAATTCTAATTTAGATTATTCGTCGAATTTAAAATAAAAATCCTCATTCGAATGCAAAAACATTGCATTCGAATTTTAGGTGTGCGTTAAGAAGGCAGCCTTATCAGCGGCGCACGAGATGTGATGACGATGTAAGTGTCGTTGCATTATAATGTTTTTCTTAGCCTGTCCAGTTGAAGCCACTAGATGGCGCTGCTTTGTTCATTAAAAATATTGCGGGAAAAGAGAACATCAATGCGGAGAAGATGTTGTTTTCATCAAAACCGAAACCAAGCCGTTCACACAGAACACATATTCTACGCATTTTCTAGAGGGACATCTATCAGCATTGCACTCGCATCTCGCACAAAAGAACAGCATGTTTAGAAAGTCATGTAAAATTAATGCAAGTTTTAACTTTGCAAAAAACATATATCGAGAATTGATAGCGGTTTTCCCCCCATCCCACTGCAACTCATGTTTTTAAATGAAAAATGTACTCTGTGTGATTGGCTTTCCGCCCTTTGTATTAAACTATGCATACATACATGATGCTGTTTTGTTTATAGTTGTTTAAGCAACTTAATTAATTATAATTGGTTTATAAACATTATTTTAAACATTATGCACTTTTTTCACAGATAGTCATGTTATCTTTGAATAGCTTTGAATAAACGTGCATTAGTAATATTTTGCTCGATGCGCCCTCTTGTGGCCTCAGAAGAGAAGCCAAAATCTTTTCTTCACCCTAGCTGAAATTATGCATTTTGATCATATTTGATATAATCACGGTTAAATATTCTGTTGGATCTTTAATGTTGTGGGTCTGTTTTTCTGCTGGAGGTCCTGGACGTCTTGTTCAGATGCATGGCATCATGGATTCTATCAAATACCAACAGATTAAAAATCTAAACATTACATTTATCATTTAGCAGATGTTTTTATCCAAAGCGACTTACAAATGAGGACAATGGAAGCAATCAAAATCAACAAAAGAGCAATGATATACAAGTGCTATAACAAGTCTCAGTTAGCTTAACGCAGTACACGTAGCAAGTTTTTTTTTAATTATATAATAAATAAAAAGAAAACAGATAGAATAGAAAAAGAATAGAGCAAGCTAGTTAGAGGCCTTTTGCTTTTGTCAATAGTATAATAAATAAAAAGAAAACAGATAGAATACAAAAAGATTAGAAAGCTAGTGTTTTTTTGTTTTGTTTGTTTTTTAAGAATAGAATTAGAATAGAGAGTGCTAGATGGCTAAGGACTCAGCTGCTCGGATTGAGTTGAGCAGGTCATATAAACATGACGGACTCTGTAAGAAATCTTATAATGGACCGTGTTTAGATCTTCCATCAGGACAATGATCCAAACAAACATCAAAATCAACACAAAAATGTGTCACGGAGCACAAAATGAATCTTCTGCCATGACCGTCCCAGTCCTCTGACCTGAACCCTGTAGAAAATAAATGAGTGGAGTGAACTGAAGAGAAGGAGCTGTGAATCTGAAGGATCTGGAGAGATTCTGGATGAAGGAATGCTCTCTGATCTCCAAACTCTTCAGGCATTATAGGAGAAAACTCAGAGCTGGTATCTTGAGAAAAGGCCGTTGCAATAATTGGGTGCCAATAATTGTGGCTAACGTGAAATAGAGAAAGCATTTATTTCACAATGACATTTCCCCCCCCCCACTTTCAATTGTTTAACTTCAATGAGAGGTTAGATAAAGAAGAAGAAATAAAGTTAAATAAGATAAATAAGAAAATAAAATATATCAATAAAAAATAAAACTCAAAATAAAAAAGAATGTATGAATAAATAAAATAAATAAAT